TCCTCCCCTTCCTCCTGGTCTCACCTCCCATCGCGCGAGGAGGAGCGGGGGGCGGGGACCCAGACCCCCGACGCCAGGGTTGCTCACGGCGCAGACCCCCGGAAAAGCCCCGACCCGTTCCCCGAGACCAGATGCCCATCCCGACTCTCCCGGGTCGCCTCGTAAACACCAGGGCCCGTCCAGGGCGCCCCCGGAGGCCGACCATCGCATCAGCGCAGTCCGTCGCTACTTCCCCACGACGCGACAGGACGACGCGACAGGCTCTTCCTTCATTCCCGACGCCACCGAGGCACGAAAGCCATGGCGAGAGACTGAAACAAGAAAGGGCGGAGGTGGACGCCTGAGGAGGAGGAGGAGGAGCAGCAGCAGCAGCGGGAGAGGCAGCAAGAACAGGGGGAAGAAAGGGATGGGCACTGCGGGAGCTGCCTGGGTGCCGCATTCTCCCCCGCTCCCGGCTTCTTCCCGTGCGGGGAAGGCGGGAGGAAGAGGGCGGTCTGTTGGTCGGCCGGACGCTCCCCACGTGATCCGGGTCCGAGCTCCAGTCGAACAGATGCGTATCGGCGTGCGCAACCAAGAGTACTGTGCTCCCCGCGTCGTCAAGAGCGCGGAGGGCCCCCAAGCCCAAACCGGGGACACCAGGGTCAGCTGGGTCGGAATCCCAGCTGTTCGAACGGATTTCTCATGCCATCGAGCAAGAGACCTAAGAAGACGCGGGAGGAGAAGCCCAGCGTATCCAGAGGTTCGTTACGCACGCCCAACAAAGCGGGAAGGGGGGCGCGCCTGGCAACGAAGTCGCTGATGACGCAGCGGAGGGGAGCAAGAGGAGGAAAAGGAGGAGGAGAACCAGTGTAAACCCAAGATTCATCAACGATGTTGGAAGAAACCCTCCCTCCAAGCTCCATCTTCACAGGCCCCTTCAAAGGCTCATTTCCACTGAAGGGACTGCCTCGTTGTTAGACAACCGTTTGAAGACCCAGAACCGTGTCAAAACAAAATTCTCGGGACTCCAACGCCACGGATCAACCCAACTGCTGCGTATTGACGATCCTGAATCGTGCTAGAATACCATTTCTGGGACTTCACCGCGAATCAACGTAACTGTGGCACCATCATAATCCGGAGTATTTCCAAAACGACATTCTGGTACGTTGACCCTGGGAACCCGTAAGACTCTTGCAATGTTTAGGACGAATGTGCGCGGCGCTCAGGCGAGAGTAAAAAGGAGCCGCCCACAATCCGCAAATATTTAAAACGAGTCTGCGCGGAGCTGAAGCGAGAACCACATTTTAAAAACGACAAGTCATCAATCCGTGAAGCTCTTGCGCACCGTGAAAACGAATCTGCGCGGCGCTACGGCGAGAGCCACATGTTGAAAACGGCCGGCCATCCATCGGTGAAGCTGTTCCCACTTTCAACTTCAGGGTCATAAATGGTGATGAAGTCTCATGCGAAATGCCGGGCCCGCCCTTTCGACTGGCCTCGGGGTGTGACAGGGAGGAGTTGCTTATAAGGAGAAGGAATAGAGGAGGAGGAGGAGGAGGAGGAGGAGGAGGAGGAGGAGGAGGAAGTAGAGGAGCAGGAGGAGGAGGAGGAGGAGGAGGAGGAGGGGAGGAGGAGGAGGAGGAGACGAGCGTAGGATGACGCGGGAGGATGAGGGGTAGGAGGAGACCCCCGCGGCTGCTGGGCGCCGCGCAGATGGGCCACGCATCGGACTCGTACGGCGCGTCGGGGGCGTCCCTGCCGCGCCCCATGGCGCCCCCATTACCCCTCGAGGGGGGACACTTGGGAGAGACAGGCTCCTCCTCCTCCTCCTCGTCCTCCTCCTCCTCCCTCCCTCCTCCTCCTCCTCCTCCTCCTCCTCCTCCTCCTCCTCCTCCTCCTCCTCCTCCTCCCCCTCGTTTTCCTCCGCCTCCACTTCGTTACGTTCCTCCTCCTCACTACTCCTGCTCCTCCTCCTCCTCCTCCTCCTCCTCCTCCTCCTCCTCCTCCTCCTCCTCCTCCTCCTCTCCTCCTCCTCCTCCTCCTCCTTCCTCCTCCCTCCTCCTCCTCCTCTCCCCTCCTCCTCCTCCTCCTCCTCCTCCTCCTCCTCCTCCTCCTCCTCCTCCTCGTCCTCCTCGATCAATTGCTTCGGATTGGGAACGTCGTTATAGTCGTCCTTATCTTGCTGCGTCGTCCTTCAACGGCGCGAGTGACGTAGTATGGAGACAGAGTCTTCGCAGTGAACTTGGAGTACGCACAGGACAGGTTGCAGCAACTGTTTTGTGGGATTTGTTGAAGTTATACGAAGGCATGCGGCTAGATCTATTAGAAGAGCGTGCAGCGCTTCTTGAACTTCCAGAACAGATATCTCGAGTATGTATCGCAGCGTATCGAGGAGCTCGCTTCATCACCATCGCGTCGATCTCAACTGGCCCGCTATAGTCAGTAAACGGCGTCGTAGCTGGATGTTCGATGGCAACAACATTCGTACGCACATACGTCATACCAGTGCTCGACCCGATCGACATACCACGCTCGATCATACTCGACATATACATCGACGACTACGGCATATCGTCGGTAGGTTCGGAAGTGGTTGCCAGGCAAGAACTGAAGGAGTTCACCACTGTAGTCGTGCAGGCTGTCCAGCTCGATATGTGCTGCGCTGTCGCTGAAGATAAAGCTGCAGTGGTTGCATCTAACTCTCGATTGGGAAAGTCGCTCACTCAATTTCTCGGCGTCTTCGGCGGCGACGGCTCCTCTCAGGCCGCCGTCAACCTGGGCATCGATGACACAGCCGGCAAGGCCCGCAGGATGAAACATCGTTCTAAGAAGGTTTCGAAAAGGAAGAAAACCTTGGCGGCCAGGGTCAGGCGTTTCAAGAAAGCTCGGAAGGCTCTTGGAAAGTATTCCAGAAAAATCTTCATCTCGGGACCGCTTTGTGGGGCCACGTATGGTTCAGAAGTTCACGGTACTTCTGATTCTGAGCTCAGAGCTTTACGGAGAAGTTTCAGTAAATGCGTGAAACCCTCTGCTGGTTCCAGAAGTTTAACATCCCTAACGATCTTGGAGCACGACCCGTGCTATTACGCTTGCATAGCCCCTGTTCTTAGGTTGGCCAAGGAGGTTTGGCTGAATCAGACCAGGCAGTATGAATATGCAGTCCCTTTTAGTACACTTCGACGAGCTTGGGAATCAGCATTCGCTGGTGAGGTACCCACTTGGCGCAAGGTGACAGGTCCTTTTTCTGCGGCGCGAGCTTCTCTTCACCGCATTGGCTGGACTATGCCGAGCTTCACCGTATTGCAGACGGACCAGGGAGTTCAAATAGGTTTAACCACCACCAGCCCAAAACTCGTGAAAAAGTTTCTCCGGGAAGGGGTTTTGAGGCAGCTCCAGAGGCAGTCTGCCAAGTCCCATGGTCTCGAAGACGGGTCCAGGGTTTGCATGGATATCTTTCTTCAGGAGCTCAACTCCCAAAAATGGAATGCTTTCAAGAAAGGTTGCATCAGGTCTTTTGCGTGCAACGTCATCTGGACAGGTCCCCGCGCTCAGGAGGCAGGATACCTGCTGGACAACGTTTCCTGCCCGATGTGTGGCGGACCAGACAGTTTTTCCACCGGTTGTGGTGCTGCCCTGCCGTCAGCGAGGTCAGATCAGAAGAGGTGAAATCGTCGATCATAGAACGTGCTGTGGCAATGCGGCCTGATGATCCCGACTGTCTCTTGTTCTCGACAGGGCTCTTCCCTCATCCTGGAGATGTGGTTCCTCCCCCTACCATGGAAGGTGGCATGGTGGTCAGGTGGATAAGCGATCCCTTCTCTGAGGCTACGGCCATCGAAGGCCAAGTATTTTTTGACGGTTCAGGGCTAAAGAGCCCCATTCCTGAATTGTGTCGTGCTGGCTGGGGGGCTAGTGTGTACGATGATAATGAGGATCTTTGTGCACCCTTGAGGGCCCTGTTCCGCGGTGGCTCCCCCAAACCTCCCAGGCGGGTGAGTTTTGCGGGCTCGGGGCCACCAATGAGCTTTTGAGTGGGCCAAGTGTAGGTTTCTCTGACTGTGAGAACGTTGTCAAGAGTTTCAATGCACCCGTATGTGTTCAGCTTATCTATAAAGAGCAGTATGCGGGCACGCTGCTCAATATGGCTAATTCGAAGTATTCTCGTGTCCAGAAGGTCAAGGCGCATGCTTCCGGCGAGGGCCTCACAGGCGCTGAACTATTTTATAAAACTGGTAATGATGAAGCGGATCTGGCGGCCAAGAGGGGAGCCCACCTACACCCCTCTCCGAGCCAGGCCGTATCCGATAATATTCAGTATCAGATTTCGGTCGCTCGGGCAGTGATTCGTTTAGCCGCCCGCGTGCTCCCCGAGTGGCCACGTTTAAATTTGGATGGAGTCCCTCGTGTTGCAGGGGGGGGTCGGAAGAAGCCCCCGGGCCCTGAGCATGAGTGGTCTTGGTGCAACAGTTTTTGGAGGTGCCATGTTTGCTTGACTTCCAGCCGGAAGGAGCAGAAGCCTCCCCTCCGTGGTTGCCGCGGCTCCCCACCTGAGAGGGTCATGGACATCACCCGTCATAAGCATAAGCTGGTGTTTTTTTCGAGCACGGATGGCACCCTTATATATGCGTACAGCAGGTGCTATGCGTACACATCGGGAGGGCAAGTCAGGAATCTTTCAAAGGATTGCCTTGATGCCCCCCATAGCAATGGAGCGGTTCAGGCCTGGAAAGATTTATGTCGGGGGAAGCATCCAAAGCTCCCGTCTGTGAAGGTTGAGCCCTTTTCCCTGCGAGAGTGAGCTTGCAGGCATCACCCTGGTGCTCCTCCTCTTCCTCCTCCTCCTCCTCCTTCTCCCCCTCCTCCTCCTCCTCCTCCTCCTCCTCCTCCTCCAGGTTCCCCTCCTCCTCCTCCTCCTCCTCCTCCTCTCCTCCTCCTCCTCCTCCTCCTCCTCCTCCTCCTCCTCCTCCTCCTCCTCCTCTTCCTCCTCCCGTCCTTCTCCCCCTCCTTCTCCTCCTCCTCCTCCTCCCTCCTCCTCTCTCCCTCCTCCCCTCTCCTCCTTCCTCCTCCTCCTCCTCCTCCTCCTTCTCCTCCTCCTCCTCCTCCTCCTCCTCCTCCTCCTCCTCACCCTCCTCCTGCTCCTGCTCCTCCGCCCCATCCCCTCGGAGCCAGAAAAGGGCAGAAGCGCAGGCGTTTCGGCCTCTGGAAGCCCTCGCCGATCCCCGGGACGGTCAGCAAACGAACCAGGAGGAAAAGCCAGCATTTGGAGGGGCAAAGATAGAGGGGGGACTGGCACGGGGGAGGGGGGACATCGACATCATTCTCCTCCTCCTCCTCCTCCTCCTCCTCCTCCTCCTCCTCCTCCTCCTCCTTCTGCTCCTTCTCCTCCTACTCCTCCTCCTCCTCCTCCTACTTCTCCTCCTCCTCCTTCTCCTCTTCTCCTCCTCATCATCCTCATCCTCATCCTCCTCCTCCTCCTCATCCTGGTTCTCCTCGTCCTCCTCGTCCTCGTCGTTGCTGTCCTCCTCCGCTTCTTCCTCCTCCTCATCCTCCTCCTCTCCCAAGAATCGGCGATACATCGACGATAGATCGGCGATGGCCCCCCGATTGTGAATCCGCGCGTTCCTTGACAGGTTGGGGCCATTCGGCGATCAGTGGGCGATTGGGGGTCGATGCATCCCCCCCTGAGCCTACCCCCCCTACCGTTGCCCCTGACCCTTGGGAAATGGTCGGGACTCGGGATTTCTGGGAGCCCGAACTCCTTGCGTCATGAAAAAAACACGAAGGATGGTGAATTGGTTATCTTCGGCTCTGGAAGCCCTCACTGGGCGCTCTTCTATCTCCAGCTGCTTTTCCATGTTCCGCTGCAATGTTTATCGGCAGTCTCGGCATCGTTGTAGTCGCTAATGCAACTGGACGCTATGCTGGTGGATCATTTGGCGACTTCCTCATACACTGTACTACAGATACTCATGATGATGCTCCTCGCGCTGCTCGTGTGTCGGTGTCGGCGCTGCAGTGTGATGTATTTGACATTGTGCTGGCTCGCAGGTTGTTATGTCATGTGGGCACGCCCCGTATTGGGTTGGCCACCAATTCAATACGCCGAGACATGACCGTTATTGCAGTGGCGTGTCCTGAAAAGCGGAGGCAATAACATTGCGTTGTGGTTCGTCTGATTCAGTATGCATAGCCAGCCCTGGGGAAAGTGTCCCGACTTCCAGGGACCCTGCATTGAGAAGCTTACCTTTCGAGGGGCAAGGATACAGTCAACGAACATCATGAGGATGCACGATCAGCATGCAAGTGCCTTGAAAGGCAATGTCGGCACTTTTCGAGCGGGGCGCGGCCTGAAAAAGTGACCAATGATGGGCCGACGGGGCAGAATGCAGGGGCAACCTTGGCAAATCGTGTATCCTTACAGTGCGCTTTGACTGTAGGGTGGACTGGCCCGCGTGGGGAACGACAGGCCCAGAACCCCTCGCTTGATGAACAAAAACGCTGCGGACAATTGTTCGGCCATTTTCGGCCTCCGGGGGCCTTCGCCGGGCCCTGGGGCCGTCAGAGAACGACCAAGGAAGAAGAACCATGCCCCTTGGGGGTCAGGACTTTGGGGGGGGGCCGTCTTGAGCGAAAGGGAAAACGACAAGGCGCACCGGCAGACGCTGAGGGGGGACGACAGGCCCAGACTCCCTCACGCAGTGAAAAGGGCAGCGGGACGGTTGTTTGGCCACTTCTGGCATCCGGGGGCCGTCGCCGCGCCCTGGGGCCGTCAGAAAACGAGTCAGGATGACCAGCCAGCTCCCGAGGAGTCGGTCGAGACCTCTGGGGTTCGACGCTGTGAAAAATGATGGCGTCGGGGGAAGCATCCAAAGCTCCCGTCTGTGAAGGTTGAGCCCTTTTCCCTGCGAGAGTGAGCTTGCAGGCATCACCCCGGTGCTCCTCCTCTTCCTCCTCCTCCTCCTTCTCCCCCTCCTCCTCCTCCTCCTCCAGGTTCCCCTCCTCCCTCCTCCTCCTCCTCCTCCTCCTCCTCCTCCTCCTCTCCTCCTCCTCCTCCTCTCCTCCAACTCCTCCTCCTCCTCCTCCTCCTCCTCCTCCTCCTCCTCCTCCTCCTCCTCCTCCTCCTCCTCCTCCTCCTCCTCTTCCTCCTCCTCGTCCTTCTCCCCCCCTTCTCCTCCTCCTCCTCCTCCTAGTCCTCCTCCTCCTCCTCCTCCTCCTCCTCCTCCTCCTCCTCCTCCTCCTCCTCCTCCTCCTCCATCCTCCTCCTCCAGCTCCTCCTCCTCTTCCTCCTCCCCTCCTTTTCCTCCTCCTCCTGCCCGCTCCTCCTCCTCCTCCTCCTCCTCCTCCTCCTCCTCCTCCTCCTCCTCCTTCTCCTCCTCCTCCTCCTCCTCCTCCTCCTCCTCCTCCTCACCCTCCTCCTGCTCCTGCTCCTCCGCCCCATCCCCTCGGAGCCAGAAAAGGGCAGAAGCGCAGGCGTTTCGGCCTCTGGAAGCCCTCGCCGATCCCCGGGACGGTCAGCAAACGAACCAGGAGGAAAAGCCAGCATTTGGAGGGGCAAAGATAGAGGGGGGACTGGCACGGGGGAGGGGGGACATCGACATCATTCTCCTCCTCCTCCTCCTCCTCCTCCTCCTCCTCCTCCTCCTCCTCCTCCTTCTGCTCCTTCTCCTCCTACTCCTCCTCCTCCTCCTCCTACTTCTCCTCCTCCTCCTTCTCCTCTTCTCCTCCTCATCATCCTCATCCTCATCCTCCTCCTCCTCCTCATCCTGGTTCTCCTCGTCCTCCTCGTCCTCGTCGTTGCTGTCCTCCTCCGCTTCTTCCTCCTCCTCATCCTCCTCCTCTCCCAAGAATCGGCGATACATCGACGATAGATCGGCGATGGCCCCCCGATTGTGAATCCGCGCGTTCCTTGACAGGTTGGGGCCATTCGGCGATCAGTGGGCGATTGGGGGTCGATGCATCCCCCCCTGAGCCTACCCCCCCTACCGTTGCCCCTGACCCTTGGGAAATGGTCGGGACTCGGGATTTCTGGGAGCCCGAACTCCTTGCGTCATGAAAAAAACACGAAGGATGGTGAATTGGTTATCTTCGGCTCTGGAAGCCCTCACTGGGCGCTCTTCTATCTCCAGCTGCGTTTCCATGTTCCGCTGCAATGTTTATCGGCAGTCTCGGCATCGTTGTAGTCGCTAATGCAACTGGACGCTATGCTGGTGGATCATTTGGCGACTCCCTTATACACTGTACTACAGATACTCATGATGATGCTCCTCGCGCTGCTCGTGTGTCGGTGTCGGCGCTGCAGTGTGATGTATTTGACATTGTGCTGGCTCGCAGGTTGTTATGTCATGTGGGCACGCCCCGTATTGGGTTGGCCACCAATTCAATACGCCGAGACATGACCGTTATTGCAGTGGCGTGTCCTGAAAAGCGGAGGCAATAACATTGCGTTGTGGTTCGTCTGATTCAGTATGCATAGCCAGCCCTGGGGAAAGTGTCCCGACTTCCAGGGACCCTGCATTGAGAAGCTTACCTTTTGAGGGGCAAGGATACAGTCAACGAACATCATGAGGATGCACGATCAGCATGCAAGTGCCTTGAAAGGCAATGTCGGCACTTTTCGAGCGGGGCGCGGCCTGCAAAAGTGACCAATGATGGGCCGACGGGGCAGAATGCAGGGGCAACCTTGGCAAATCGTGTATCCTTACAGTGCGCTTTGACTGTAGGGTGGACTGGCCCGCGTGGGGAACGACAGGCCCAGAACCTCTCGCTTGATGAACAAAAACGCTGCGGACAATTGTTCGGCCATTTTCGGCCTCCGGGGGCCTTCGCCGGGCCCTGGGGCCGTCAGAGAACGACCAAGGAAGAAGAACCATGCCCCTTGGGGGTCAGGACTTTGGGGGGGGGCCGTCTTGAGCGAAAGGGAAAACGACAAGGCGCACCGGCAGACGCTGAGGGGGGACGACAGGCCCAGACTCCCTCGCGCAGTGAAAAGGGCAGCGGGACGGTTGTTTGGCCACTTCTGGCCTCCGGGGGCCGTCGCCGCGCCCTGGGGCTGTCAGAAAACGAGTCAGGATGACCAGCCGGCTCCCGAGGAGTCGGTCGAGACCTCTGGGGTTCGACGCTGTGAAAAATGATGGCGTCGGGGGCCTGGGAGGGGGGCACCAGCTCAAGCGCTTGAACTGGCGATACGTCGACTATGGATCGGCAGTAGGCCCTCGATGATAAGCGAAACCGCATGGTGCTGCGTGGGGTGGGCTGTCGGGACACGCCGGGAACTACTTGAGGCAAAGAAAGAGACGAAGGAGATTGAAAGAGGAAAGGACAACCAAACTCCACATACACAAACACACACACAAACACACACACACACACACACACACACACACACACACACACAAACACACACACACACACACACATTCCTCAGCACCGGGGGCGGCGACCGAGGCGCCACCCAGGAGCTGAGGGGAAGTATGTTCCAGCGCCGACCCAAGCAAATCCGCGCGGACCTCCGAAAGTCTGCGGTCGGAACTGCTTCTCAGCGTGTCGCGGCGGCGGCCCATGCGACACGCTTTGCTTTGCAAGCTGGCAACGTGTCGCTCCGCTCCGTGGGGCGGGAGGCTGAGAGAGGCTCGGGACGTTGACGCCTCGGGGTTCGGACGTAGATAGCGTGTCCCGCCCTTGGCGTGGTGGACCAGATGCGGCGGCGCGACGCTCTGAGCCTGATTTCTCGGCTGTGCCTGAGCAAATCTGGTTGCATCTCCCGGCCCCGGCCGCGACCCGCCTGCCCATCCTGGAGCACTGCCCCAGGAGCTCCTCCCGGAAGGCCTCCACCTCCTGAGGGGGCGCGACGGCGGCGACGGCTGCACACCAACGGCAGCGCGGGCACAACTCCTTGACGTCGGAATTGCTCGGATGGGCGAGAGCACCCAACACGAGGCAACACGACCGAAATCTGGCCGAAGTCGGCGCGGTGCCCCGAGACGCGGACCGCAGCGTCTCAGCTTGAGTTCGGTCGTGCGCAGGTTCGGCTGGCGCCAATAATTAGCAACAGCAGCGGGGGCGGGGGGGCACTGCAGGACGACGGCGACGGCGGGGTCGATGATCTCTTTGAGGCGGCTCGTGCTCTCTCTCTCTCTCTCTCTCTCTCTCTCTCTGGCCCCGCAACAGGGCCTGGCTGGCCGCCGTGGGTTGGAAGGGAGAAGAGCGAAGGGTCCCTGGACCGCCGACGTCGGTGCCTGGCCTTGCCGCCGACAGAAGGACACTTGCCATCGCTCGGACGTCCATTCCCAGTGAATTGCTCGGTGTCGTGCGCATTTCATTCGCAAGATGCTCCAGGATGCTCCTCGATGGTCCGCGCCGGGGAAAGATGTACACGTCCACATCCGAGCGATGCCAACGGCAGGTCTGGGCAATCACGGCGAGGGCGGCGGTGGTGAGGAGGAGGAGGAGCATGAGGGCGTGGCGGCAGTGCGCAGAAGCGGGCGGGGGCGGGGGGGGGGGGGGGCGCGGCCTTCTCGGAGAGCCGGCGGTCTCCCCTCGAAGGGGCCGGGGAGACGTTGAGCACAGGATTCAAACAAAAACAGCTGCTCGGAAGGCGGGAAGGCTTCCAAAAGGTAGCCCCCTGCTATCGCAGAATGCCGCCCCCCCCTTTCTGGAGTGGATGTGCCGATACCGGCACTCCGCAGACCTCTGCTGGGGCGCGTTCTGAGCAGCAACTCGAGGAGAACCCAGCCATGGCGACGAGGGCTCTCCAGGACAAGCAGCGGTATCGGTATCGTTTGCCCTTCTGACATTCGCCCCGTCCCATCGTGCACGCAGCCGGGAGGGGAGGGTGTGCGCAGCGAGGGAGAAGGCGGATGACTGAGGTGCGGGGTGGCTCTGGCGCAGGCCGCAGCGGGGCCCCCAGGTCGGGCCCAGGCCCCCAGACGTCCTTCAGGCAACCACGTGTGAACCCTGCCTCTGCAGGGCAGGCTTCTGAAACGCTGGCTGGGGCTCAGAGTTCGAAGGGTGTCCGCGGCCAAATGAGCCCCGGCGGGGGTGTCCAACTCTTCCTCCGCCGGGGAGCCCAGCGAGAGGTCTCCCCCGCCGCCCCCGCACCCGCGCTCGCGAGACGGCCGCGGCGCGACGCCCGGGTGGAGGCCCCGAGGCGACGGACGCCAGCAGCCAGCAGACCGCGGCGGGGGCCAGGGGGCGCATGGGCGGGGACGCGGGGGAGGCGGGGCCAGACCTCCCTCGCGTCGCGGAACCATCGCGACGGGCTGCGTTCTGCTCTGAGGCTGTTTCTTCTCTAGACTCGACAAGCTTACCCGCATGGTTTCTCCCCCCCCCCCTTCCGCCGCCCCTTCAAACCGCACTGGCCTCTTCAAACGGCCTCTGCTTTCGGCCTCTGGGGGCCCTCGCTGGGCCCCCAAAGGCCGTCAGTGAGCGATGCGGGGTGAAAAGCTGGTCCCGGGGAAGGGGCGTCGAGACCTCCGGGGGTCCACGTTGCGAATGTTAGGACGCCCGAAACGGGCACGGAAAAAATATGTACAATGCCCAACAACAAGTGTTGTCCCAACGGTGGCTCATTCTCACGCGCAGCTGAAGGAATTCTCGCAGGAGGAGGCTCGGGCCTTGGGCAAGGGGAACCTCTGGGCCTGCTTGTTGGTGTTTGTCTCTCTTGTCCTGCCCGTTCCATTTTCAACGAAAGCCTTGCCTAAAGTGTTTGCGCTGCGCCTAAGCCGGCTCCACGCATTCTTGGGTCACCCGTGGTACGCTACAGCTCCGTGGCTTCCGCTCGCCCACCGCGACAAATTTCGGGAAGGCGCGAGAATGGAGAGGCCTTTCGTTCATCGTGCCACGCTGCTCGTGGCTGGGGGGTCCATGGGTCGTTTCGGGTGTCTTGGGCGAGGTTCTCACCGCCAGGGCTGGACACAGCTCGGAAACTGGCGAGGCCATGTGGCAGCAAATACTAAACGGAGCTTGGTCGGACGACTCAGGCGACGGTGGCGACGTCGACGGCCACGGCGGAGGCCACGGTGGCGGCGATGCGGTCGGCGAGCACGACGTCGCAGCAACAGACGACGACGACGGACGCCCAAAAGGCCTTCGGAGGACTGCAGAGGGTCCATGGGTGGCCTGTGCAAGGGCCCAGGAAGGAACTGGAGCGCATACAAGTAGCATCCGACCCTGGTCCTCGACGCCGGCGGCGACACTCAAGCAGACCCCGACGACAGCGTTGACGGCGAGGAGTATGAGTGAGTCTGATCACGAGTTTGGCTGAGTGCGAGCAAGTCTGCATATGAGGGAGTTTGCGTCTGAGTGAGTCTGAGTATGGGTTCGTCTGAGTCGTTTGAGTGCGCGCGAGTCTGAGCGCGAGTGGGTGCGAACGAAGGAAGGAAGGAAGGAGTACCCTACGCCCTAAGGCGCGTCGGCGCGGCATGCGCTCAGGCGAGCACGAAAAAATTGTCGATCTCGAACAGCGTGCAGGTGTGGCTGCTTGGCCCATTCCAACTAGGTGGGGCCCGGTTATCCGTACGTGCATGTCGTTCACAGGCGTCAGGGTCTTCGGGTAAAAGACAGAATCCCGCAGCGGGCACACTTCGCCGAGTGGGTTTGAAGGGAGAGGAAATACAGGGGCGGGAGCGAGGGACGCATCACGCGAAATCGCCCGCCCAACAGGCCAAAGGCGTGCTAAGATCCACAGAAATGGGCTCAGAACGCTCGTGTGTTACAAGTTCGCGCGCGGGGCAGCCGCTAGAAGCCCCCAAACGAACAGTACATCTGGACCAAGGTGACCAAGGACAGAAGAACAGCCTTCAAGAACATGAGACCCTCCGCAGGCGAAAACACCCCAAACCAGAAGATCACCGAGGGTACCCAATGCACAAGAACATACGACAAACACGAAGAGCACGAGGGTACCCTCCCTGAGCCGACCTCGATCTTATGCTTCCGTCCGACCGTACGCCAGACGGCCCTGGGAAACTCGGATCAACTATGTCGCTGCGCCGATTGTCCTGAGCGCGCCCAGAGAGACGATGTCGGCAGCGCGGCAAACCCCACGGCAAACCCACCGCGTCCGAGGCGGAGTTTGCCCCGGTGGCCGAGGCGTCCTCGCCCTCGGGACGCCCAAGACAACCTCCGGATCGCCACAATAGGCACCACATGATAGCCCAAGAACAGCCTAAGAACGTCGATCGACGGGTGGCAGGCCCCAAGGTAGGTCCCGAGGTGGCCCTAGGTGGTTCGATCTATTCCCGAGATGATGGCTTTCCTTCCTCATTGCTTCTCGGGCCTCAAGATGGCTAAATCCTCGCCCAAGACGGCCCCAAGTGGGGGCTAAGAACAGCTCCAAGAAGGATCCAAAGACTCCCAAGAGCGCACCGGAGAGAGGCCCAACATATTTGGTCCAACAGCGGCAAAGCAGCGGAATTCATGCATAGGCCCCCAGGTGGCCCCAAGACAGCCCCCAGAGGCCCCAAGATAGCCCCGAGGTGTCCCACAACGGCCCCTGAGAGGCCACCATCAGGCCCAAATCCTGTCAAATCATACGGTTGCTCAGTGGTGTTGGTTCTCTCTCCTTCCTGGTTCCTATGGGCTGCTCAGGCATCAAGGTGGCTCCAACATTGCCCACGGTGGTCCAGAGACGCGGGATTCACAGGTGGCAGGCCCAAAGACACTCCCAAGACAACCCCAAACCACCAGAACATAGCGAGGCTAAAATCTTTCAAGCAACTATGCTCTCTCAATGAGCTTGGATTGCGTTCCTGTCGTTTCGCGTGGGCTTATGAGGGCTCTAGATGGCTCCAATGTCGTCCAAAATAGCTACAAAAAGAACCCAGAATATCTGGAAGAGAGGCCCAATCAGAACTCCGACAACGCGCCAAACATAGACGCAGACACGGTGAGAGCAAGGAGCACTGGGTATCACACGCCACGGTGGCCCAAATACCCTAAAGTGGTCGCAGATAGGCCACAGCATTTAAACAGAACACCCCCGATGAGCCCCTGGAAACAGTCGAGATATTTCCACGAATCCACTAACAACTTTCCTACCAATACGTAGTGACCCCAGGCATTGATAAAAATGATCCCTCCGTTCCGCGTGCACTTGTCGTCATGGCCCCTAGCGGCCCCCCTCTCACCCATGGTGCTTCCCAACATGCCCAGGTGCCACCAGTGATACAACATCGGCCTGCAGAATGAGCGAAGCTATCAAACAACAAGAACGCCAGACTTAGAATATGGACAACACCTTGAGCCTCGATGTCGACGGCAACGCCGAAGTCGCCGGCGGCGGCGCCAACGTTGACAGCTGCGGCGACGCCGACACCGACGCCGACGCCGACGCCGACTCCGACGCCGACGTCGACGGCGATAGCGACTGGGGCGGCAACAAGGCATTGATACTGCGACTCCCCAGACCTCTCCCAGGGTGCATTCTGACCAGAACTGCGAGGAGACCCTACCAGTTGCTTGGCGTGTCGCAGCGGCGGCCCCAACGACATGCTATGCCTTGCAAGCGGATATCATGTCGCTCCGCTGCGCGGGGCGGGAGGGTCGGGAAAGCTCGAGACATTGACGCCTCGGGGCCACGAAACGGACAGCGTGCCGCACCGAAGCGCGGTGGGCCAAAACTGGCGGCGCGACACGCTGTCCGAAAGTTCCCGACTATAGACTTGGCGACGAAGGCTCTCTAGGACGAGCAGCGGTATCGGAAACTGATGGGGAGCAAAACGCTGGCACAAACACACCAACTTGAAGGGAGGGGGCCCCAGCGCCGATCCGAGGAATCTGCGCG